CGCGCCGCCGCCGCGGCCCCGCAGCTCCGCCCCCGGCCCGGCCCGGCCCCGGGCCCGCTCGCCCGCCGCCCCGCATGGAGCTGTCAGCCATCGGCGAGCAGGTGTTCGCCGTGGAGAGCATCCGGAAGAAGCGCGTGCGGAAGGTGAGGCTGCCCGGGGGCGGCTCCCAGGACCCCTGTGGGACCCTCTCGCGTCCCCAGCGCCGCCCCCTCACGCTGGGGGAACGAGGGGGAAAATGGGCCTGGGGGCCCAGGCAGCTCTGCGCTGCTGGGTCCGACTCCTCAATCCGTGCCTCAGTTTCCCTGCCACTGTGTAGCGCGAGTGGAATAAAAGTTGTCGCTTCAGGATGCTAGGGCCAGTTTAGCCCGTCCAAGCTGGAGATTAGGATCGGACTGTAGGGATGCTGAGCGCCATCCCACCTCATCCCCCTTTCATTCTAAATATAGGTAGACTGAGGCCCAAGTTGAGGAAACGACTTGCTTGGGGTGTTAGCGTCAGAGCTGGGTCTTGAATTGGGGGACTCTGGAGTCCCGGTACCAAGTCCTTTGGAGTTGGAGGCGGAGCTTTGGAAAAGTCTCCTCCTGCCTCTGAAGTTTTCCTGCTGGACTTTGACCTTTGTAGATCCCAACTCTCCGGTGCACACCCCTCTTCCCCGACCAACCCCCCAACTCCCAGTCCCCAACTCCCAGCCCCCGCCCGGCTCTGTAGCTGCCGGGCATCCTTGAAAGCACCTGCCCCACTGCCTTCACCTTCAAAACAGCACACTGCAGTCCCAGGAGGTCTGTTCCGCTGGGCTCAGGACCCCGTACCTCGGGGCTGGACTTCAGTTTTCCCTGCCTGGCGTCTACTCATCCAGTGCACATGTTTGCCGAGTAGATTCACCCCAGACTGGAGGCTGGGCTTTGGGGGAAAAGTTCCCTTCCTGGCACTCACCACCTTCCTTTTCTCTCATCTTCACACTACAGCCCCTTGGGAGACTGCAGCGGCAGATTGGAAGGGGCCTTAGCCGTCACCTCCTCCCATTCGACAGAGGCAAAAACTGAGGCAGGAAGTGACCTGCTCAAGGTCACACAGCAAATTAGAGATGGAGATAGGGCAGGAGCTAAAGCTGGCTCAATTGCCAGCCCATCTTCTCTCCATAGAGAAAACTTGGTGCTGGCATCTTGGGCTAAGGGTGAAGGTCAGGGTGGGTCATGAGCTTCTTTTCTTTCCCCAGCTCTGCTTGGGGTTGAGCTCTGACTTGTGGTTGGAGCTACTGCTCCTCCTCACTTCTCCCTTCCCCCAGGGTTTCCTCTACTTGAAAGAGAACTAATTTATTCCACAAAACCCAGTGCTTTCCATGCAGCGGAGCCTGAAGCAGGTCCAGCGATATAGGGCCCCCGGAGTAGTGGGAGAGAGTGGGGACCACTGTGCCTTCAGCCAGTCACTCAAAGCATTTATGGAGGAGCTGTTATTTACCAGCCATCTTCCTAAGCCCCAGGGATACATCCTTTCCCTCATGGCATTTTGGCAGAGGAGATACACAATGAATAAGAAGATAAATACAGGTGCCTTTAAGTGGGTCTGTGTGTTCTGCAGAAATATAAGTGTAAGGTGCCGGGGAGGTACAGCATTGGAAAGGGTGGCCAAAGAAAGCCTCTGAAGAGGTGCCATATCTTAGTCTTAAAGTTCTGGTGTGGAGGGGCTTCACTCATTGGATGGAATGGATTGGAAACTTTTAAAGGCCCCTGTGGGTAGTGAGGAGGGAAGCGCCTGGTTCACCCTTTCTAAAGGTGGGGACTTTGCCAGTCTTTTTTGGGGTCCTGCCAGGGTCCTTAGAGTTCAGCGTCCTCAAGTCACTGGCCTGTTGCCTCTTTCCTTCTGGGCCAGATGCAGCCTCTCCCAGAAATCCAGCCAATAGGGATAGAGCCACGGGGGAGGAAAAGAGGGATCACCCCAGGGAAGAATTTTCTAGGATTTGGAGTCTTCCAATCTAAAAAGAAAAGTACGGGTTATGATCTTGGCCCTGGGACTCTGAACACTGGGTCTTTGGCCATGCACACACACCCCCAGGTGGTCTCAGTGTCCCCAGCTTGGGCCCCAGGAGCCCCAGAAGTGTTCCAGGGCCAGATGCATTCCTGTGCTCTAATAGGGAGGGCAGCCTGGGGTAGTCATGCTGCAGCCAAAGTTTGGGTCAGTTAGCGAGGATCTGGTAGAGGGTCCTTGGATTGTATGTGTGTGTTGGGGGACATGTGTCTGCAGTGAGGATTTGGGGCTGAGGGCCTTTGGGCCTAACTATCCTGTGAGTGGTTGTAGGGGCAACCGTGTGCCTCACTGTGTCTGCTTCTCTCTTCCCAGGGTAAAGTCGAATATCTGGTGAAGTGGAAAGGATGGCCCCCAAAGTAAGGTTCCTTTGTGTCTGTCTGTCTGTCTGTCCCTCCCCTCATGTCTTGCCCTCTCCCCACCTAGCTTTGAGCTCCAGCTGTTCTTGTAACTGGACAGCTGGTCTTGGTTAAATCATCATCTTCTCCGGGCCTCAGTTTCCCCTCTGCCAGCTGAGGGGCTTGCAGCACATAGGGTCAAGGTGGGTCTCCAGCTTCTCTTCTCACCGTGTGCCGTCAGTGTTGAGTCCATCTTCTGATTGGACCTTCCCGTTTCCTCCCCTCCCCTCCTTTTGGTTTTTTCTAGCAACTGGGAGGTGAAGGCCCAGCCACTTGGCTGCAGAGATGGCTGCTGGCCAGGTGGAGGGACCCCGAAGCCACAGCAAGTCCAGTGCTGGGTGAGCAAGGGAAGCCTAGTTAGTGGAACATGAGTCCCCAGTGCCATGTAGCTAGGGGCAGAGCCTTGCCTTTGGATGGCACTTTCCAGTCTCCAGAGTAGGTTCCCATATAGCCTTGTGAGGTAGGTGTGGTTGTGATCTCATTAGATGAGGAAACAAGCTCAGAAAGGGTAAGCAGCTTGCCTTAGTTCACACAGCAAGTGGAGGCAGAGTTGGGACTTGAACTAGGCCTTCTCATTTTCAGGTATCTCCTCTGTGCCCCACCAACATCCAATCTCAGAGTTTGGGGGCAGGAAGCTGGGTCTAAGACCTCTCCCAGTTGCTCACCTCTCCTGCTGAGGCCCAATCAGGAACCCTTCCACCAACCAATCACCTCCCAGCAGGGAGTTGTCGAGGGGGTAGGGAATGAGCTAGTGGTGCGGCTGCCCCATTGGTCTGTGGGTGTCCCACCCCTGCCCTGCCTCCTGGAGACTGACTCCTAGAAACCCCCTCTGTCGAGAGCCCCTGCTGTCCTACCAGGGGCTTTCTGCTTGCTGGTGTTGGGGGCTGACCTGGTATTGGGTCCTGGAGGCACTCTGTGGGGATGGTGAGGAGAGATGGCAGAGAAGATAGCCCAGAGTGCCTCAGCTTCCCTCTCTGCAAAATGGGTTCAATAGTTCAGGCACTGCTCTCCTCTCCCAGGCTAGCTGGCCTTATGGGGTGAAAGGCCTGGGCACATGTTCAGGGTGATGGCAGGCATCCTGATGACTGGAATTGGTGGTTGGCACGTAGATAATACACCTGTGCACACCTCACCTCAACCCACCCCTGTTCTCCCTTCCCAGATACCTTGGTGGCTGAAGGAGGATTCCCCTCCTCCACTGGGCTGATCCAAGGTGGACTTCTGGCCTGAGGAAAGGGGTCAGTAAAAGGGAGTGAGAGACAGAGAAAAGGGAGATGCCCAGGTGGGCAGTGGGCACTGACTCCCTGGGCATGTCACGCCTGGCTTAGCCTCTCACAGGGAAGGCATCACGTCAGAGCCAGAGTCACCAGCTTGTCAACCTTCAACTCACTGTTTGCTGTTGTACCTCCTCTGTGGACTCCACCTTTTGAAAGATTTTCTCTAAACAGAGGCCCCTATTAACGAGTAGTTCCCTTTCCTACTTGTATTAATCCTAAACGTGAATACATCTGCTGAGCAGAGCCTCAGTTGGGAGGGAAGGAGCCAGTGCTCCGAGGGCAGAGCCCAACTGATATTTCTGTTGGCCTGTGTCCTGGCCCTGGGGCCTGCTTGTTTCTTAACGTGAGACCACCAGGTGGGCCCTCATGACTGCCTTTTACAAACCCCGGGGGGTTATGGAAACTCTGTTTTAACCAGATGACCTGGGGACACCTTCTGCCCCCCACCCACTTTGGTCCTGGGTTCCAGGCCTGGCTGCCCACTCGTCAGCTGTGAGCCCTTGGGCAGGTCTCCAATGTGGCTGGGCCTCTGCTTCCTCTTCAAGTTAGAATGATGAAGCCTCCTTGGCAGGGTAGTCATGAGGATTAGATGATGCATATAGATTACCTGGCTTGTGTTCAGCCCAGACCAAGCATGTTAGTAAATGTTTGCTGCAAATACAAAGTCAGATAGCTAGGTCTCTAGGTTTGTTTTTGTTTTCTCCATGCAGGAAAGGGACCTATGGGATTCCATTATTCACAGAAGCTCAGAGTATCCTTAGAAATTATTTAGCTCAGTCCTCTCATTTTTCAGATGGAGAAACTGAGGCCCAGAGAGGAGAGTTCATTACATGAGTATAACTGCCAACCCCATGCAGTATGGTACCCACTTCATGACATTCACGGTGCCACCCATGTGAGGCAGGGATGTCTGCTAATCATTGCCACCTCATCTGGGAGAACACAGAGGATGTCAGGGGAAGCAGGAGAGCCAGGGCTCCTTTGTAACCAGCTCTGTCATCAGTCTCCCTCCTCAGGAGGCCTTGCTTGGAGAAGAGGCTGAGAAAGAAAGAGGGGAATGGGTAGTGGGGCAGGCTGCTTCTTCTGGGCCTGGGAGTCTTGGCTGGGGTAGTGTGAGCTCAGGGGCGGCCACCCGCCTCACCTCTGGGCAGGCAGACTTGTATTAATGACAGCAACAATAACAGCAACCATGATTTAAATGAACACTCACTCTGTGCCAGGTCCCTGTTAAGCCATGATATGCCTTGCCTGTTTTCTCTCCCCGGCAACAAGTGACTGCCCTCCTGCCACAGCAGATGTGGCAGAGGGGCTCTCTTGCTTCTTCTGGAAGGCACAGCAGATGGCACAAGGAGGGGCTGGGGGCTCGAGGCAGAGGGTGTTAAATTGTCATCTATAGGTGCTCTCTGCACCTCAGAGACCCCACTCTCATTTCAGCCTGCCCAGGACCCTGCTGTTCCCCCTTCGAAAATGCCTTCCTTTCTTTTCCATTTGAATGCTACCCCATCTTTTAGGAAGGTCTGGCTCCATGGAGCTTTGTTAATGATATCAGTGAATACAGCAGTAACCAGGCTGCCAGTCAATAAGCCCCTATTATGAGCCAGGCATTTGCCCATTTAATGCTTCGTAGTCACCCATTTTACAGATGGAGAGAGAGTCCCACAGCAGAGGAGAGTCCTTGCCCAAGGCCATACAGCCAGGAAGATTTGAGCTACTGCCTGCCTGACCCCAGGGTTGTGGGCTTCCCCCTGTGTACACAGCCAGCTCCGCCAGAGGTTACCAGGAGTCTCTAGTCTGTTGGTTTTGGGGCCAGTTCGGTGGGAAATACTCAGGCTTTGCAGCCAGACAACCCTGCTTTGGAACGCTGATTGTCTAGATCCACCAGCTGTATGACCCAGGACAAATCCCTCAACCTCTCTGTGCCTCCATTTATTCATCTATAAAATGCCCTAGCCCCACAGGGCCCTAGTCCCACAGGACTGCCTGAGACAAGGTAAGATTCATTAACACCCTGACAGGGACAGAGTATGGAGCTGTTTCCTCCTCCAAGACTGGGGTTGGGCAGCGCAGCAAAGTCCGTGGTTGAGGCTCTGGCAGACCTTTGCGGTACTCTAGGGTTTTGAAATTGATTTAATTAACGCTTCTTAGCTTTTATTATGTGCCATACTGACCAAAGATGTGGTTTAACACACCTGATTTTCACAACAACCCTAAGCGACAGGGATTATTGGTAGCCCCACTTTAGGCCGAGAACCCAGAACACTGGAGTCACTTGCACAAGTCCGCGCTCTGGCAGTCTGGACCTGAGCCCGCCACGGTGCTTCTCATCTGGGGCAGCTTTAAATTGGAGTTGGGGGCTGCGGTTGGCCTGGCCCCGCAGGGTCCCTGGAGTGTTTCCACCTAACCCAGGGACGCCTGCGTCACAGCTCTGCAGTGCCTGCCCCTCCCCCCGCCTCCCTTAACCCCGGGAAAGACTGGCTCGGGGTTGGGGGGTCCTCCCCGCACTGCCGCAGTTCCCCCACTCGGTTCCCCCGACCCCAGCAGGGCGGGAGCCTGAGCACCCGGGGCTCAGGCGAGGCGGCCCCGAGCTTGTTTACTGGGGCGGGGGCGGGGCGGTCACGTGGCCGTGTTTATCTCGGAGCCGGCGCGCGCTGTCCCCGCCCCCGGCCCCGCCCCCATGGGTTTGTCGGGTGCTCCCAGTGCGTGCCCCGCCCCGTGCGTGCGCGCGGCCGCCCGGCTGCGAGGGCGGGGCCTCTGGCTCCTCCCACGGGCGCTCTGTTCCCGCCCAGGCGGCTGTCCGACCCCGCGGCAGTCCCCGCCGGGTACCCGAGTGTCCCCCCCGGCTGTGTCCTGTGGCGACCGCGCACTCCCAGCTACCTGCGCCCGGCTGTTGTCGAAGCGTGTTTCTCCCGGCTGCGGCCTCTGGGGTCCCTGCACTGCGGAGGGACGCGGCGTGGCTTCCACTTAGGGAGGGGGGCGAGGGTGGAGAGGTTAAGACACTTGTGCAAGCCCTCCCCCTCCATGGCCCCAGCACGGAGCAGGATCAGGCCTCCTGCTGCCAGATCTGACCTTGTTACCTCGGATCCCGGCTGCCCTGGGCCAGAAACAGTCCCCCTCTTAATCCGGCCGACCCTTCCTGTGCACCCGCTGTGTGCCAGGCCCTGGGTCAGACACGGGACCCGGGTCAACCAGGCAATGATCCTCCCCCAAGGACGTCACTGCCCGGTGGGGCGCCAGATACAGCGACCTGGGAGGGGCCGAAGGTAGAGGGTGGCTGAGAGTCCAACTGAGTTCCAACCACAGACTGGCCCCTACTCCTCAGTGACTTTGGGCGAGTTGCTTAACTCCTGTGCTTTCCATCTCTTCATCTGTAAAATGGGGGTGATAATTTAAGGACCTACCTCATCAGAGATGCGAGAGGGACAAATTTCTGGTGGCAGTCTTCACGCCTGCTGTTGCAGGGATGGTTATTCTTAAGATGAGGAAATTGAGGTCCAGAGAAGGGTAGGGACTTGCCAGGAATCACAGCACAGCTACATCAGCAAGAAATGGTTAGGGCAGTGGGGAGGTGGGCAGGGCAGACAGGACACACAGCGAGCTTTCAGCAGTCAGAGAGAGGGCGAGACAGACCATGAGGGAGGAGCACAAAATTCCCCTTTCTTCTTACTAGTTACAGTTGCAGAGATTCAGCCTTTATTTGGGGAAAGGAAGGTTTAGAGTCTCTGCCAGTCTCGGGTTGCTCATGTCCGGGGCTTTACCTAGCTCTGTTTTGCTTTCAGCATTTCTGCAGGGGTGAGCAAACTGCCGCAGTGGCTTTCACGGGCATTCCCAGAGCACCTGGGGCAGGGTTTGTGCTCCCCTGGCCAGGGTGCCAGCTGGATTCATCGGCAATTACGACAGGGGCCAAATGCAACAGTGAGGCTGAGCAGTGGAGGGGAGGGTGTATCCTGCTGGAGTAGGACAGCATGGATGGGGTGTCAGGGAAAGCTACAGGGACCTGGCTCCTAAAGGATGAGAAAGAGTTCACTGGAGGGCCGGGGTGCTCCAGGAGGAGGGCACAGCACATGCAGAGGAAGGGAGGCCAAGCCAGCGTGTGGCTCGTGGGAAGGGGTTGTACAGTGCTCAGGGCATGGACCTTCATTGCTGAGTCTGCAGATCCCACATGGGCCTGACCCAGAGTCGGTGCGCTGAAGTGTTAGTCGAAGAAGGCATTCTGTCTTCAGGCAGCTGGTTGCTCCAGACTGGACTAGTGGATATCACAAAAGATGTTCCATAAGGTAAAGGTGTCAGCTCACCCTAAGACCTCCCTCATGCTCATTCATGCGCTTATCCAGCAGAAGCTCTGACCAGGATCCCAGAGCATCACTTTGGTTTCATTTACATATGTATGTGTACATATAATATACATGTATAGTTTTTACAAGGGGTCTTCAAACATTTCATGGAAAGATTCGTATTATCTTTTAATTGCATTTTTCCATGAACTTTTTGAAGTACCCTTGTATGTATACTTTATATTTATTTACATATACATTTTTTAAATTGGAAACTTTTTATACTTGCATCTATTTATGGTGAGTAATACTGGTTTTTCCATTTATGGAAGTCATTGTGTGCTTTTAAAATAAAATTATTTAAACCCCCCAAAATGAGCTGCTTTAAGGGCAGATACTAAGTAAGTAAAAGTGCAAGTGGAATGAGGATATGGCAGGCGTCACCAGGGGGTACCACAGATGGCTGAGCTCTAGAACTGCTGCACTGTCATCACTCGGTCTGCCCCAGCACAGGGACACTTTCTGGTGTAGGGGTGATGGAAGACTGCTGTAGAAATACCAAGGGGGCCTGCTGTAGGACTGCCGAACCATTCGGTCAGTAGACATTAACCATATACCTGCTGTGTGCTGGGCCCAGAGACAACAAGGAACATCAGACCTGGCTGTGATGGCACAGGTATCACTGAGCTGAGTAGGGAGGGCGCAGCTCTGTGCAAGCAGAGGGGGCCTGGCCTGGGCCAAGGCTTGAAGGGTGTGGAGGAGCAGCAGCAGTTCAACACTTGCAGAGTGCTCAGCACGCACTGGGTACGGCTCCAAACGCTCAGATGAATGCGTTTCATGAGCACAAGAGCCCTTTACAGATGGGGAAATTGAGGCACAGAGCCCTTAAGTAAATTACTCAAGGCAGCACAGCTAGCTGGGGGTGGAGCTGGGATTTGAACCCAGAAAGTGTGGCTTCAGAAATCCTTCTTTTTACCACATGCACCCTGGGACCTGCAGGGGCCTGCGTTCTTCTAGGCACCCTGAGGGTCTCAAGTGAATATGGGGTCTAATGGGGAGTTGGGCTCAGTCAGGTTATACTGTGGTGTGAACAAGGAAGGCTCTGGAGTCGCTGGAGTCCTCAGGAGGCCCAGGCTAGGCCAGCTCCTTGGAGTAAGTGACAGCTACACCTTACCAGGAAGGGGTGAAGGCTTGCTGACAGCGGGCCTGGGGGAGCAGCTGCAGCCTCTATCAGGTGCAAGTCAGGTGGAAGCAGGGCAGCTCTGACCTCTCGTTCTTCTCCCCAGGTACAGCACGTGGGAGCCAGAAGAGCACATCCTGGACCCCCGCCTGGTCATGGCCTATGAGGAGAAGTAAGGGGTGCTCGGCAGGCCGCTGGGCTGGGCTTGAGGCTGGCCCTGAGGTTTCATAGCGAGCTCGGTGCTGGCTTGGCCCTGATCAAGGGGTCGTTGGGGTGGGGCAGGGGGGTGTCTGACAGGGGTGGTCTGGTCTATTCCATGGCTGAGGACCCTGGGTGACTTTCCTGTTGCTGGATGATGCTTTCTCTACCACCTAGGCCTCAGGCTCTCTGCTGTAGGATGGACCACCCCTAACAACACGCTGATTTCCCTGTAAGGCAGAGGTTTCAGTTTCGTTGAAGAGTGTAGAAATGCATTACAAAGATGCCCCACGTGCGAGGGGGCAGCAATAACAGTAATGCCGGTGGTGGTGGGTCAGAGATAGACCCCCCTAGGGATTCTCTCACCAAGAAAGCAAGCCTGATGAAGCCCCACACAGGCCAGGGGAGGGAATGGGGGCTTTGGAGTTGGGGTTGCTGAGTTCTGGTCTGCCCCACTTGGCCAACTCCCAGCTGAGTGGCCCTGGGAAAAGTCAGACCCCACCTGTGTCAGTGCTGTGCTTTTGAGCAGAACTGACCCTTCCCTTCCCAGCGCCACTGCCTGCCCCTCTGGCAGGCAGCCCCAGATCCTTCTGCCCCTCCCTGTACAGCGTGGCACCATTCACAAGATCGTTTTTATCTGGCTCCTTACGGCAGCTTCCAGAGATGGAATGAGAGTCTCATTTGACAGATGGGGACACTGAGGCTCTGAAGGGTTAAGGGGCTTGTTCGGGAGCCTCACATCTGGGGAACTAGCACAGCAGGGACTGATGCAAAGCTCCTGACCCCTAGTCATTGCTGTGTTCGCAGCACTTCTCCCCAAGGAGGCTTCTGCTGATGATTCAAAGGACAAGTTTTTATTGTTCTTTCCTTTAAAAATCAGGGTGTCCCTGTCCCACAGCTTTCTGCTTTTGGGTGCTTGGTGCGGCCTTGGCCCAAAAGGGTTGTGACACCTAGGAGAATCCTGCAGAATGTTGTGGATTGTGGTAAGGAGAGCAGTGGACAGGTGTCAAAGGCCTGGATCAGAATCCTCTGCAAGGTGCCCTTTCCCTCTTCCCCTGGAGACTGATGTCCAGCAGGGTGTAGCAGCTCCTACCTAGAGGACAACCAGACATTTGAAATAAATGCCATGGGATGTACTGGTTGATGCTGAGCTCAGATTGAGAGACTGGCCTAAAGTCACACAACCAGTAAGGGACATAGGGGGTGAACTCCTGGCCACCACATTCTTTCCGCTGCTCACGTGACCTCTCTGCTGGGGGCTGCAGAAGTGTGAATGGAATGAACTGAAGTTGGAGGCAGAATGAAATGACTCTGAATCTCCCCACCACTCTGGCACTGTTGTTTGGAGGCTCTGGTTGTGTTGTCTTGTGTATGTCATATGTGGCCTTGTAAGCACCCTCCACCTTGTGTGCCTTGTGTGTTTTGATGTGAGGGGAAAGTACCCTGCCAAGAGTGTGACATCTACGAGGCACTCAGTACAGGCTAGTTTTCCTGCCCTCCCCAACTAGATGACACAGATGAGATGGGTGCCCGTTCTCTCTGCAAGGGTTATGCACATCCCAAATGGGGTGGGGGGTGCCTCGGCACAGCTGCACTTGCAGAAGGACTCATTCTCATCATCCCCCTGGGACATTTGAGGCAAATTGGGTTGACAGGTTTCTATACAAGTCTCCTACGAGTGAAAACTGGAACTACATTTTTGGGGAGTCCTCAGTAGCATGCAGAGCAGAGCCCTTGCATGGTCCTAGAGCCCAGTGAAGACCCACATATTTTCAAGATCCCTCATGAGGCCTGCCTCAGAGATTGAGATTAGTGCCCTTCCCATTTGTCAGATGGGAAGACAGAGGCTCTAGGCATTGAACACCTGACTCCATTGTTATGGCCCCAACAGAGCAATGGGGAGGATTGGGGCTGGCCTGTGGGGGGTGAGTTCTGGTGTGTTCCAGACAGCAGAGGGCGGGTGAAGTAGACGCCTTACTTTCCTTTAGATATCACCAGTGTTTCCTTTTCTTCTGCCACCTGCTTCGCACCCCAGGGAGGAGAGAGACCGAGCGTCGGGGTATAGGAAGAGAGGTCCGAAACCCAAGCGGCTTCTGCTGCAGGTAACCTGGCCTGCCTTTGTGCCTCCCTTCTCTTCCTGCCCACCCACAGGGCCCCTCTGCCTCTTCCCTAGCCCTCTCCTTCCATGCGTTTGCACTGGCTAGTTGAGCTGATCCACTGACCCTGCCCTGGCACTGCTCAGGGCACTGTGGCTTAGGTCACTTCGTGGGTCAGTTTCAATGGGAGGAGCTGGGAAAAGCCCGAATGTGGAGCTGGTGCCCAGGGCAGACAGCCTGGGTGGGAGGTGCATGTTGGGAGGGTGGTTGGACATATGGCTGATAGAATCCTAAAATTTTGAAAGCTTAGAATCTTGCGAGGAGCTTCTTTTGATGCTCAAAATCCCCTTACACAAAATTGTAATATTTGAGAACCTTAGAAACGTAAACTTTAGAACTGAAGAAACACAAACTTTAGAACTGAAGAAACACAGGAGACTGGAATTTTTGAATCTAAGAAACAGAGACTCTTAGAATTCTGGAAGCATAGCCTTAGAATATCAGACTCCTAGAAATGTGTTGTTTTTAGGTGGGAAGAAACTCCCAGGGCCTTATTTTCCAGCCCTTGTCAGGTGGGGGTCTAGTCCCTATGACATGCCAGGGTGCCTGCATCTTAGGTCTTGAGGGCACGGTGCTGCCTTCACTGATTTGCAGTGGAAAGTGAAAAGCCATGTGATTCTAGGCAGGTCTCTTAGCTTCTCTGAGCTGGAGTTTTCTCACCTGTGAAATGGGAGTGATAAAAATATACCTGCTGTCCTTAATTTAATGAGGCCCACCTCGATATTTGAAGCCAGAAAACAAGGATTCTTGGTTCACATGCAGTGTGGCCACTTCTGACTATAGATCTCCTGGGCTTTCACCAGAGTGGATGGGCCTTCTTTCATGCACTGGGCATGTTTCAGTGTGAACTGGGTCCTAGGAAGGAAAGTGACATCTGCCAGACAGCTGCGTGCTAGGTTCTGCCCGATGTGCTTTGCTAATGAACACATTCCATCCGTGCACCAAACCTGCGGGTGGGTGTAAGTCATCCACTGCTGCGTAATAAATTCCCCCCTAACTTAGCAACTTAAAGCCATGAACACTTATATCACACAGTTTCTGTGGGTCAGGAATTTGGGAGTGCCACAGCTGCTTCTTTAATGGTTCTGGTTCAAGTTACAGTCAAGATGCTTCTGGGGCTGCAGTCCTCTGAAGGCTTGACTGCTCAGGTGGCTGCTCACATGCCTAGCAAGTCAGTGCTGGATGTTGACAGGGTCTGGTTCCTCACCATGTGGACCGCCACACTCTGCTGGAGTGTCCTCACAACACAGCCACTGGCTTCCCTCAAGCGGGTGGTCTGAGAGAGAGAGCAGGGGAGGAGCCGTGTGTCTCTTATGACCTAGGCTCCGAAGTCACACGCCATTCTGTGTGGGAAGGGACTACATAGGGGTGTGTGCCAGGAGGCGGGCGTCGTTGAGGACACCTTGGAGTCTGGTTACTGCCGTCCCTTCACCCTTTCACCTATGAAGTAACTGAGGCTCAGGGAGGCTGGCAGCTTCCCCAGGGCCACACAGCAGGATTAAGCCAGATCTGCCTCGTGGTGCTCCTGCACCCATTTTAGTTGCTGTAGTTCTCTCACGTTGAGGTAGTGAAGGACAAAGAAGAATCTGCCTTACAGGACGGCAGGGGAATTTAGGCTTATGATGGCCTATGTGCCAGGTGAGAGGCATGGGCTTTGGTAAAGCTGTGTGTGGGGTGAGCCTCCTCGCCACTGCAGTGCCTTCCCAGTCCCCTCCTAGTTAGGCCCTTCTCCCAACACGACAAAAACCCACCCTCTCGATGAGCAATGGCAGAGGTCCCATCTGATGGCTCCCTCTCTTCCTGGGAGCTCTTGTCCTCTGATAACAGGTGGCATAGAAAGTACTGTCCCGGAGTGATCCGTGATCTCCCAGTATCTTGACACCAAGGATCTTTCTTGGATTCATGTAAATTTTCCACAAAGTCAATAAAACAAATCCCCAAATTACAAAACTCCAGCCCTTGGGTGGTGGGCAGAGTGCCCTCTAGCTCCGCTTCACCAGGGGTGGGGTGGGTGTTAGCAGAGACCCAGACCCAGATGGGTTTGCGCTGTGGTTCAGAGAGCCCAGGAGCAGCCTGTAGGGGTTGAGGGCAGCGTGTGCAGGTTGTGGTCAGAGCACTGCCCCGTGGCTGGGCGACGGGGTGCTCCCAGTGCTGTGTGTACCCCTGGTCGACCCAAGACTCTCCAGAGCTGGGTGTTGCCTTCTGCCTCACTCCGTCTCCTGGCTAGCTGGCCGTTCCAGCTTGAGAGACCCTTTAGTAAGCAGTATTCTTTTCCTAAAGTGAAGAGTAACTCTTTAATTCATCAGGGTTATGGATCCAGATTTGTTTGTTATTAGTCACCTTTCAATGTGTACCCCTATATGCTCCTCTGCTACTTGTCAAAGAAATAAGCCCTGTGCCCCTCAGGCCCCCAGCCCTTAGATGCAACTGCACCGTGGGGCCAAGAGGAGGAGCCAGGCAGGGCCACGCTGGGCCAGGGCTGGTCAGGGGTAGCTCCCTGGGTGGGGGCGGGGTGGGGAGACATCTGGCTCTGGGCTTGAAGTGTGGGGAGGAGTTGGGTGGTCAGCTGTGGGAAGGGGTCTCTGGGTGGGAGGAAGAGCATGAGCGAAGGTGTGCGGTGGGAGGGAGGGTGGGGCTGACCCGCCCTGCCCTGGCTTGCCCCCGCAGCGGCTGTACAGCATGGACCTGCGGAGCTCCCACAAGGCCAAGGGCAAGGAGAAGCTCTGCTTCTCTCTGACGCGCCCACTCGGCAGCGGGAGCCCCGAGGGGGTGGTCAAGGCAGGGGCACCCGAGCTGGTGGACAAGGGCCCCTTGGTGCCCACCCTGCCATTCCCGCTCCGCAAGCCGCGCAAGGCCCACAAGTATCTGCGACTCTCACGCAAGAAGTTCCCGCCCCGCGGGCCCAACCTGGAGAGTCACAGCCATCGACGGGAGCTCTTCCTGCAGGAGTCACCTGGCCCAGACGTCCTGCAGGCAGCCGGCGAGTGGGAGCCCGCAGAGCAACCCCCCGAAGAGGAGGGTAAGGCGGTTCAGGCCCAGAGCCCCTCAGAGCTGGGAAGGTCCTGTGGGTCATCAGGTCCAACCGACCCAATGTCCAGAGAGGGTCCATGGTGCTCCTGAGGCCACACAGCCTGTAGGACAGTCAGGACTGGACTGTCATCCTGCTCTAGATGAGCTCTTGTCCAGCTAGGGAGGATGCATGTAGTGATATCCTTCATGAGTCCAGCCTTGAGCCTGGCCCAAACTGGCTGGAGATGCAGAGAGGGTGGTGGTGGGGTCTGCATGCTGCCACCTGCTCCCACCTTCCCACCTTGTTGTCAACACTGTCCCCTGTCTCTGTCTTTGTCCCATGGCTGCAGCAGATGCAGACCTGGCAGATGGGCCCCCTCCCTGGACACCCACACTCCCCCCAAGTGAGGTGACCGTGACTGACATCACCGCCAACTCCATCACCGTCACCTTCCGTGAGGCCCAGGCGGCTGAGGGCTTCTTCCGAGACCGCAGTGGGAAGTTCTGAATCACCGTTTTTACTCTTCTTAAACTGTCTTTTGGGCTTGGGGTGGGGACTTCCAGAGGTAGGGAGGGGTTGGGGGTGGGGAAATTATTTTATTTAAAAAAATACCGAGCAGAAGAAGGGGGAAGATCCCACCACTCTCCCACCCCTTGCCCCTTTCTTTGTGAGGGCTGTTTACAGGGAGGCCTCAGGACCCGGGGTGGGGGGCTGGCCTAGCTCTGTCAGTTGGAGAACCATCTTCAGGGCAGAGTGGGGACGGGGCCACCCAGGACACCTGCGTCGTTCTTTTCCACTAGAGACGCAGCAGCTGGTTCTAGGAGGTAACGGAGCTTCAGAAGGCCAAACCCTCTCCCTTGAGCAGCCCACCCCAGGGTGTCTGGTTGGCTTTCCCTTTCCTTTTTTTCTTTTTGATTGGGTCTTTATTTTGAACTTTCCACTCCAGCTTAGCAGTGGGGTGTTGAGGCTGGCTTTGACCAAAGTGACTGGGTCTGGGAGAAGGGGCTGGAGTAAGGGTTTGAAGTTGCTGGGTGTACGCCTTCTCCTTCGGAGAGGCATCTACCATTCCCAGGGAGGAGGCTGCCAGCCGAGACCCTTCTGCTGAAAGCTCCACCCTCCTGCATGGCCTGGCTGGGCAGAAACGCTTGAGAATGCCCAGAAACACCGGTGTGCACGCATTGCCCCTCGCGTGTGCGTGTGTCTGCAGACGTGTCCACATGGGCCTTGCAACCCCCTTCTAGAAATCCTGACTGGGTGAACATGGAGTGATTCATAGCACAAGAGAATTTGCCACGGTTTCCCACACTCACCCCGCCTCGCACGCACATCACACTATAGGATTTATCCCAGCTTGGTTTGCTTGCAGCTGTCAGCAGAGGATGGGGGTCATGGAGCTTATGCTCCAGGCACGCAGATGTGGTTTTGCAGTTGCATCTGGCCAGGCTGCAGGTGTGCAGGTGTGTGCAAATGTTCCAGCGCATCAGTGCAGGCTCTGAGACACTTGGGCCCTGACCTTCCCCCCAGAGGGGTTCTTGTTTTTTCCAACTCAGGTGACTTTTCAGCCCTTCTGATCCCCCTTATTTGCTGTCCTCCCCTCCAACTCAGCCAGCCCAGATGTGGGCGTGGGCAGTCAGGGAGGGAGGGAGTGTCCCACCACTTTCTCAGGGCAGCCCTCAACTCCTGAACCCCTTCCTCCTTCTGTTCTGTTCCTTCCCCATCTACCCTAAATGCCACAGGTGGGGCTGACCTTGTTTTCCTGTGGGAGCACCTCTGCCCATTTTCCCGGGGTCGGGTTCTGCACAGGCTGCAGGTGCTGGCAAGGGGCTGTGTCTGCTAGGAGGAGGGGGCACTTGTTTTCTAGTTTGCACAAAGTGCCCTGGGGGCCAGTAGCTTCCCTGCAACTGAGGAATGGCTTCTCCTTTTATCCCAGCCCTAGAGGGGAGAAAAAGCCAGATGGGGCACCAGGGAGCATGGAAAAGGCTGGCTCCCCATCCTTCTGCCTGAGTCAGGGGAATCAGAACTTGGAGCAGAGTGCAGCTGGGAAGTATGAAACTTGCTTGCCTCCTGCACGGTCCCCCGACTCTGCTGGGTCCTCAGGCAGTCAGCAGAATCTCTGCTGGACAAGGATAGGGTGACTCTTCACCCAGATCCTTTCTTCCCCAGTTCCCAAACCAAAGACAGCCTGCATCCCATTTCCGTTTGTTTGGGGTGCTCTGTTGGCAAGATTTCCAAATCCCTCAGTCTTTCCCTTTCCTGCTTAATCTTTAGATGTCCAGGGTCAATTCAATGCTTCTGTTGGGGGACAGTCTCTTCTGGGATAACCTGATTCACCCCCAGCCCAGGGAATTGAACCTAGAGGAATATGTGGGGGTGGGTCAGGAAAAGAAGGGGCAGCAGGAATTGCCATCCATCCAGCTGTGGGACCCTGGGGAGGAGAAGGCGAAGTTGGAGTTGGGGTGGGAGGATTCCCAGGACAGGGGTTCCTAGCAGCGGTGAGGGTGGTGGAAGGTGGGGGGAGGAGGTCTCTTTCCATTGAATGTGTTCGCCCATGGCTTTGGGACATGGTTGGCAGCTTCCAGTAAAAGTCACGCTCCCCATCCCTCAGCGGACACAGGACCTCTTCCTGCTTCCTGGGCACTTTTAAAGAGCTGTTTGTGCAATTTTCTGGTTTGTGGTTTTAGGGGGCTTTTCTTGTGGATGAGGCAGGGTTTTTCTGTCTGCAGCAGCAGAACATATCTTTCCTCATATGCAGACCTTTATGGCCCATGGGGAACCTTGCAGCTCAGGGAGGGCTGACTTCCAGGAATCTGACCTGCCATTGGTGAATCAATGATGCCCAGCTCAGGGCAGCCACATGGCTCATGGGCTCCAATAAGCTGGCTCCCTGGGGAAGGGCTGTGGCTGTTAGGACTGCCCCCCTCAACGCAGGTGGCCTCTGTGAGGTTACCTCTGGGTGTGGTTGCACAGGCCTCTTCCCAGCCCGGAGCATCCCAGCTGGGGTTCAGGTCTTGAGAGCAGGCAAGGTGGAAGGTGGACAGTTATCTCCCACTCCCACCCCCACAGCACCCCCCGCAGAAGGCCAGTACTCTTGGGGGTGGGGGAGCCGCTTAGAAAGTTCTGCCACTTGCCTCTCTTCCCCAGCCCCGACCCCATTTTGAATGCAGAGGCCCGTAGGTACTTCTTCTTTCGCTGTGGGGCGGGGCGAGGCGAGGAGCATCTCCTTCACCACTTGGCATGGCCACCGCGATGCCGATGCTGTGGCTGAGCCGGTCGGGCTTCGTGATTATCATTGCTCTTAGGATGATAATCCCATTGCCAGTTCCTTCCCTCCTCTTGCTCTGGGGGAAGGCGCTATGCTTCTGTAAGGCGGTTTAGCTTTTGCTTTATAACTGGCCAGACGTGGCCACCAGGCCTCAGCACAAGAACACGCTTCCTTTGCACAGAAAGAGCTTTGAGCTTTGTTCAGACTAAATGAATGTACTCAGGAGGGTCGGGGCACGAGTTGATTCGAAGCACATGCCTTTTCTGAGTGAGCGTGCTGGGAGAGCAGAGTGGACGTAGAGTGTGGTTTTATTTTTGTACTGATATTGGTAAGAGACTGTATAGCATCTATTTATTTAGATGATTTATCTGGTAAATAAGGCAAAAAATTATTAAAAATACGTTAAAGATGATCTAAAAAAAGCTCTTGGGCATTCGATCATTCCTTCTGATGGTATCCTGCTGTGCCAAGGAAAGACCACCAGCCCCTGGTGACAGCCTGGGATTTAGGTCCAGGTCTACAGTTACTGACCATGATCTTGAACAAGTTCAGTCTTCTGAGCCATCCAAATGTACAGTGAAGATGAACTGAGATGACGGGAACTGGAAACCCTGGAGTGTCGCTGGGTGGTTGCCCACCTCCTTGGCCCATGCGGCGTATTCTCAGAGTCCCAGAAGTGCTTTGGGTCTCTTCTCCACCTTTTCTCAGCTTCCTCCCAGGAATATTCTTTTCTAGAACCTCGGGGCAGTCAGCATCCCAGATCTTTGAAGTTGCAGGTTCTGGAACCCAGGACTGTCATGGGGCTCTCCCCTCCTGTCTGTTCAGCATACCTGTCTGAATGCTGAGACAGGTGGCCAGAGCAAAAGAATGGAGACGGGGGTACTGTGAGCCTGACCATGTCTAAGTTCATCACTGGCTGCAGGGTAGAGACTGGGTGGGAGCGGGGGATGGTGATTGCCACAATGACGGAAGTGTCAGGGAAAGAGAAATGGGTAGACTGGAGGTATATTTAGGTGGTAGAGTCATCAGGATGTGGTGACTGATTGGATGTGAGGGTGAGGGAGATGTCAGGGTTACACCTAGGTTACCAGTTTGGGTAACTGAGTACGTGGTGGTTCTTCATCTGAATGGATGACTTGGTTACCCCCAACTGCAGAAGTGAGGCAAGGATTTTCTGTGTAGGTAGTTTATTTGGGAAGTGATCCAAAGAGCAGGGGGAGGGGTTAGAATGGGTCAGGGAGGAAAAAAATAGCCATTACAAGGGTGTATTACTGAGGTCTCTATAATGGGAAACTGGGGTGTGTTTCTCTGTGAGATCACCTGAGAAGTGTCCGAATGTCCCCAGAATTGTCCATTCCCAAAGGATGAGGGGTGGGAGCGTTATGCATTGAGTGCTGCCCCTCACTGGAGGGTCCCCCTGGATGTGCTAATCCACACCCCCCAACTTCCCAGCTTTGCATCTACCAGCTTCCACCTGTCTGTTACTCCTGTCTGTTGTGTTGGAAGAGCCTCAGGCAGAGAGTGAAGACGTGCTGCCAGGTGAAACCCACAGGAGACCCTCCAGCTTGTCCACAGCAGAAAGCAGAGATGCGGCCAGGAGATGAGCATCGATGAGGGGCACGGCAGAGGTCCGACACAGCCCATTCTCATTGTCCAAAAGAAATCCACTCTCAAAAAAAAAAAAGGAAGAGAGAAATCCACTCTTTCACTGAATCTTCAACAAGGTGGCCAGTTACAATCTGGATAAAAGACTGGATAGCTGGTGGTAGTGGGTGAACTTCAGTTCTCAGTGCTGCAGCTGGCCCCAAGGCTGTGATGGATGGTATTCTCCACTTGCAACCCCTTCTGGCCAGCGTTCCTCCTAGTCCAGGTTATTTGCCTAGTGGGGTGACCCAGACTCACCCATGAAGAGTCTGGGCCCTTGTTGACTTGGCTTTGTCGGATCATGCAGGTGTGTTTATAGTCATCACTGAGCATGGAAGCGTGAAGAGATGCCTCAGTGACTGCCCCAAGCTCCAGACAAACTGCCCTCTACCCACATTGTGTAGCAGCAAGCCTCATGGCTGAGGGTGGACAAGGTCAGTTAACCTCATCAACTTAGTAGCGACTTTTTTCTTTTGGCCTCCTCATCCACTGGTTCTAGGAGCCCCAAATGCCCATTTGGTAGTCGTAGCTTCATTTTCTGAGGAGTCCTATACACTGTCCCCTGGTAGAAGTGTTCCCTTCCCTGGAAACTAGGACCTGT